TTAAATAACAAGTCAGTAGGATGCTCCTTACTTATATGAAGACAACAGGGAGTAGTTGCAGGTGTTTAGAAACGTGATGCGGATCTGCATTGTCATGGAAAGCAGCTTATGCTTCCTAGTGAGGTACAGATGAACGCTGTTAGAATATGGGGTCCTAACCCCTAGAATACTAATGTCGAGAATGATCAACAGCAAGATGTTTATAGAAGTCATTTTTCATTACGGATGATTAGAAGAAACTTTTAGAAATAATACACTCAAAAGAAATTTTTTTTTCCGTATGAACACAATTTTACTAAAAAAGGTCTAAGGATAAGTCTCTAGCTACATTTTAAGTGTTTTTCATATATCCAGCAATAAAACAGTATTAAGTAGCGATAAGAACATATTAGATGAGGAATCAAAATATCTAATATTGTTCCACACCTCCACTAATACTTGTGTCGCCTTGAATAAATTCTTAGTAGCAGTTTACTCAACTGTAAAATGGGTATAAATAACTTTTGCCTGTTTCCACAATGCTGTTGTGAAGGTCAAGTAAAATAACATATTTAAATGTTTTGAAAAATGTAAAATACTATAAAAATGAATGATAGCATAGTCAATATTATCACTTAAAGCAGTTAAAAATGTTTTGATCTCTTATCTGACTTTTGCAATGTTATTCTCATGCAGTAATTTATATAATTTATAATCCAGTTCTACATGTAACTTTGTTCAAAGCTGAGATAGCAATGATGACACAGAATGTAAATCTATAAACCTCTGGCCCAGAAATCGTAATATATAGCAAAACTCTAACCAGGCCAATAGACAGATTAAGCAATTTAACTACGTAGTTTTCTCTGATGGACACTAAAACGTCCTACTCTCTCAAAATAATGTTCTGCCTTCTCTTTCCTTCAAAAAGGCAACCAAGTTGCCTGAAATTCTTACATCAATCATTCATATATTTGGGATAAGGACCTGAAGGCTCTGATTAAAACGTGTATGTGAGTAATGTGGTAACACATTAAACGATCATGTATTATTATCAGATTGAAAACTGATTATTAGATTAGCTAGTGACTCATCTAGCAAGAACTAGATGAAGGACCCATTCCTTATAAAACTGAAATACCTTTAAAAGTCATGAGGCGAAGGAGGGGAGAGGAGCATGAGGTCAGGCTCAGGGAGAGAAGTGCTGGGGCAGGAAGCCTGATGAAGAGGGTGGTGAGGATGAACCTGTCACCTTTGCAACTTGTGGAACACTGGTCTGACTCTAAAAGGAACAGCAATAATAAATATTTGCCAAAATATATACGAGTTAAATTGCTGAATTCTACTCTGGATAAATACAAGCGATGTTATTAGCTTTGTTTAATAAATGCAAAGTTTTAACTAAGATATACCTGAACTGTAACACTTTATTATAGATAAAATATTTCAAATGTTAACTAACACATGCCATTCAGCATTATATATACTACATACTTAGTTCACTGATAAAAGTTTACTTGCTATTGAATAGTCCACAAATGTTTTCTGAAACAACTGCCCTAACAGCACGACTCCCCCACCAGGTACCTCCTCCACCCTTGTGGCTATACAAAAGAAAACTGGGAATTTTGTCATTTTTCCTCCTCCTTTTCACTCGCATTTGGGGACGCTTATCTGCACACCCCTTATGCCTCACTGTGGCACTAAGCTAATGATAAATCTAACCACCTATCTTCTGTTTTGCTGCCTACCTGGGCCTTTTCTAAGCAGGCAGAAAATCTCTAAATCGGTCTGTTATCACAACCAGAATGCAAGAGATTAGTGACCACGGAGAGAAGCAGAATCGGTTTACATCCTTTCGGGCAAGAGGAATGATATTATTTCACAAGCAAGAAATCTGAGGCTCCCTGACCTTAATTTAGAAAACCTGCAGTTAATAATCACATTAAAGTTGGTTTTACAAGCCAGACAGTTTTTGTTTCCTGTGTTATTTTTACAATTTGAGTGTCCTTTGTGGTTACCAAAATTGTCCGATTGAAAGACACAGATTGACACTGAAAATATTTCATCGTAATAAAGCAGGCCTTGCTGCTTAGGTATATCTGACTTCACATACACTTTGCATTGATTTTTTTTTTAACAAAGCTAATAACATTGTTCCAGAGTAGAATTTAGCACTTTAACTCATTAATTATGACAATTAATACACAGAAAATTCTTAATTGAGGAATAAAATGGATTTTTCACTCTAATCTGCCAATCCAAATAAAAAATTTATAGATTCCACCACAGGCACACTCACCCCTCCCCCAAAAAGGTCAGTTGTTTCTTGAAGGAAAGAGAA